TGGATAGGCAGCAACCCCAGAGGAAGCAGGAACAAGGATCCTCAGGGCCTTTGCCCGAGCCAGTTCCTCTGCCTTGAAAGCTCAAACCCAACACACTCAGCTAACTCCTACTCATCCCTCAGGACTCAGCATAAGAGCCGCTTCTTCCAGGAAGCCCACCCGGATTCCTCAGTCTTGCTCAGGCCCCAGTAGCCCATGATTCCACAGCTCCGGTGCTTCTGGGCAGCATTTACCATGTTTTTGCTAAGAATAGCAACAATTTGTTGTGTTTCTTTTTTATTTATTTATTTGAAAGACACACAGAGAGAGCTCCTGTCCACTGGTTTATTTCCCAGATGCCCACAAGCAGTTGAGATTGGACTAGACTGAAGCCAGGAAGGAGGAGCTCAATTCAGTTCTCCCATAGGTGTGGCAGGAACCCAACGATCTGAGCCATCATCACTTCCTCCCAGGGCCTGCACTAGCAGGAAGCTGGAGTCAGGAGCCAGAGCCAGGATGGAATTCTAGATACTTTGGCGTGAAATGCAGATATTGTAACTGCCAAGCCAAATGCCCATCCGTGTTGCTTTTAAAAAGTTTCTCTTTTCCTCTGGGCTGTAAACTCTGTGTAGTCAAGTCATGATCCGTTTGGGTCACTGCCCTATTCAAAACATGGTATGGGCCCCAACAGGGGGTAAAACTCATTATAATTTGAGTGGGTAGATGAACGGATGGATGGGTGGGTGGGTGGGAGGAGCAAGCATCACTTCTTGTGAGATTTCAACAAAGCCTCCTCCTTTTCTTCCTTCATTCCCAGACTCCCTTGCAAGCAGACCTGGCCATGTGCCAGAGTCTGGCCAATCAAATGTAGCTAGAAGCAAGGTACCCTTGGTGCTTCCAGGGCCAATGTGTGCGGCCCCTCAGCAGAGAACTCTGAAGTCCCTGGGTCAGCAGCTCCACAGACAGAAAGTGCCTGGGTCGCTAAAGGACCCCCTGGAGCGGAATGCAGCCTGCCCCACCCCCACTCAACTTCATTCTTCTCCCCTAATGGGAAACCCATCTCTGCGGTGCTGAGCTCCTGTGGTCTGGGAGTTTCCTGGTTACAGTAGCAGGTGCAAGGTCTTCCAGCTGACACATCCGGGGGCGGGGCGGGGGTGGGGCATGAGGGAACAGCTGTGCTGGTTGCCCTGCTCTCAGCGTCTCCATCTGCCCACCTGTAACCAGGACGGGCTGGCTGGGGAACAGGGTCATTTTCCAGGTCAGTTCCTGGGAGCCACCCCTCCTGGCAGGTGCGGGGGGCTGGAGGACTTGGTGACCATGGAGCAGGAGAGACGTTTGGACCTGAAGTCAGGCATTGTGTGTTCAAATCCTGCTCCTTCCATGGCCCCTGGGTGGTCACTGGTCCTTTGGAATACCAGTGTCTTTCCCATGGAGAACTGCGAGGCCCTGGGAGAGCCTGGCACCGGGCGGTGCCCCGATGAAGGCAGTCGGCTTGACCGCGACGTTCTCCTGGGGTCTCCTGGCTCGGGCACGGGAAGTCCCCGTGAAAGTCTTTCCCAGCCAGACAGCCCCATTTCTCTCCCGGCTCTTGAGCAGCGCTGGTGCCTATTACCCAAACCCCAATGCATCTTTGAAGTTAGCAGCTAATTATGTTCCGGGAAGTTATAGATCTGGAGTTTTCCACGTGCCACAGGCAATTGCCTGCCCAGGCTCTCATTTTGCAGAGCCGCCAGCCTGATGGAGGTATTCGCTGGGACGCCCTCCCCCGACCCCAGGGGCCTCCTGCAGCCAACCCTTCCCTTCTCCACCTCCCAGATGCTAGGGGCTCTGGGCCTCCCCCTGCAGTCCCTGACAGCATGGGGGTTGGGGGGCAGTGCTGTCCATTCTGGAGGAGGGGACAGGATCTAAGCTGTACCAGGGCTAGGGAGCCTCTGAGAAGTGCCCCCCACCCTGGGAAGGCACAATGGCTCCTTTGTTCTGAGTGATAGTGGGTTTCCACTGTAGACAGAGCTGTTTTGATGAATAAGGAGTTGCCTGCTTCCTAACCCTTGCCCCCTGAGCTGCCTCTCTTCACTCTGACCTGTTCATCTCTGCTTCCCCCTGCAACCAGAGAAGCACCCAACCCAGGGCTAGGCCCCCACACTGGGCTGTCCCCAGAGACATCATTCCCTAGCCAGGACATGAGTGGGATGTGTAAGGTGCAAACTGGAAAGAGGTGCTCACACCTGGGTGCTGTCCATGCACAGGCAGGCCCCTGGGAGCAAGAGCCTCCTGAAATTAGCACCTACTGCCTTCACCTGGCTTGGTCACTGCTCCTGAGACCCTGCTCATCTCTTTGGAAAATGAGCCCCCATATGCACCCCTACTCTCAAAACCCAGTCAAGCCTGCCTTCTGCTCGAGCTGACCCGTGGGCAGTATGGGGGGAGAGGCCAAGGCTGTCCTGTTCGCTGTCTTTGCCCCATCCTTAGCACATGACCTGGCACACAGTGCGTGCTCAGTCAGCATGACACCCACCCATCAAGATGAAATCTAGATGGGGCTGGTGCCGTGGTGCAGTAGGTTAATCCTCCGCCTGTGGTGTTGGCATCCCATATGGGTGCCGGTTCTAGTCCCGGCTGCTCCTCTTCCAATCCAGCTCTCTGCTGTGGCCTGGGAAAGCAGTAAAAGATGGCCCAAGTGCTTGGGCCCCTGCACCTCTATGGGAGACCGGGAAGAAGCTCCTGCCTCCTGGCTTCAGACTGGTGCAGCTCCAGCCATTGTGGCCATTTGGGGAGTAAACCAATAGAAGGAAGACCTTTCTCTCTGTCTCTCCCTCTCACTGTCTATAACTCTACCTCTCAAATAAATAAATAAAAAGATGAAATTTAGCAATGATGTTGGCAAAGCTCTGAGCTAGAGTCTGAACACACAGTAGGTGCTCTGTGAAGGTGAGAGCCATGTGAATCAGGCATCTTCCATGAGCATACACCCACTCACCCACCCACCCACCCACACACCCATCTATCAGTCATCCTATCCACTCATCCAACTATCCACCCATCCATCCACATATCCATGCACCCTCCCACTCACCCATCTACCCACATACATCCATCTACCCATTCATCCACCGACTCCCACCCACTTATCCATCCGACTACTCTCACCCACCCATCCATCCACTCCCATTCACCTGTCCACCTACCCATTCCATCCACCCATTCATCCACCCAACCATCCATCTACCCACTCCCACCTGCCCATCCACCCACCCACTCCCACCCACCAATCCGCCCGCCCCCGTCCATCCATCCACTACGTACTAAGCCCAGCTATGTGCAAGGCAGCGTGAGCACTGAAGGGCAGTGATAAGAATGCAGCCCTGCCCTCCACAAGCTTCTCTTTAACATTAACAATCCTTCCATCAGGAAAAGGACCAACTTCTAGGAGGAGTTAAAATCCGGGTTATTTGGTGGCAGCCTGCCAGGCACTATGGGTCATCCAGTTCACTGACAAAGACACAAAATGGGATAAACTGCAATCTGCCCACCCCTGCCCCGACAGGACTGCGGGCATCTGAGGAGAGACTCGGAGAGAAAGTTCAGTGATTGAGAGTGGAAGAGAGGATGGACGGATGGGCGGACAGAAGAATTACACGGCCAAGGTCAGAAGGCCTGTCCGACTGTAACACATTGGAAATGGACATTCAGAGCCCACCCTCTCCCCGGCCAGCAAGAGGCTCCACCGGGGTGCTCCACTGTCTATGGGTCCCAGGCCTTGACCACCTTCCCTGGACAGTGCTCACTAGCCATGACCTACACGGGCCTGGCAGGTGGCCTGGGCTCAGAGCGGTGCCTGCAGCGTTGCCAGCTGCCTCACTGTGCTGGGTCTCCAATTCCCTCCAACGGTGGCTGCCCGCCCCCTTTTAATGGGAAGATCGATCCCCTCGATGGAGAAGTGGGGATCAATAGAGGAGCTGATTAGTTCTGTGTTCTCACTGCCATCTGTTACCAGCGAGATGGTGTCAAGGAAAGGGCACAGCCGGGTGTCGGGGGGCTGGCGTGTGCCTGCTCTCTCCCAAGGCATTTGCAGCAAAGCATGGTCCCCTCTCTGGGCCTCAGCTTTCTCACCTCGAAAATGGGTGACACATTGCCTCAGGGACTTGCTGTGAGATTTTCAGATGTGTAGCTCAGGGGTTGGAAGAACAGAGTGATGGGGACAGCAAAGGCCAGCAGACCTTTGGCCCGAAGCTTCCAGTCTCCATGAAGGCAGCAGACTCCGGAGGGGCTGCACACACGGCTTTGCAAGCTTTGAGGGAGTGGGCGGCAGGAAAGGGCACTCAATCAGGGGTAGACCTGTTTTGTTTTTTTTGTTTTTTTTTTTGACAGGCAGAGTTAGACGGTGAGAGAGAGAGAGACAGAGAGAAAGGTCTTCTTTTTTCCGTTGGTTCACCCCCCAAGTGGACACTATGGCCAGTGTGCTGTACCGATCTGAAGCCAGGAGCCAGGTGCTTATCCTGGTCTCCCATGCGGGTGCAGGGCCCAAGCACTTGGGCCATCCTCCACTGCACTCCTGGACCACAGCAGAGAGCTGGCCTGGAAGAGGAGTAACCGGGACTAGAACCCGGTGTGCCGGCGCCACAGGCGGAGGATTAGCCTAGTGAGCCGCGGCACCAGCCTGGTAGACCTGTTCTGTAGAGGGACTAGTGGGTCCTCCCCACCACTTGGAATGGGGCCAAAGACTTTGGCGCCCCACGTGTGGCTCAAAGCTCTGATGCACACACCCACACCGAGACTGGCAAAGTGAGGCATGGGTGTCCCCAGGCTCAGCCGCAGCGAGGAGGGTCCCGGGAGTGACGGACCCCTCCTGGGACTCGATGGTACGTTCTGTGATTTATCTGGAAGTGAAGTGGTTACTAGTTCCTGCTCATAAAGCTGGGTCAGACTCAACTAACGCAAAACAATGAGAAAGTGAAGCTCCTCCTTAGTTCTACCACTTAGAGCAAACCACACTCCCTCCCCCTCTCCCTCTTTCCCCCTTCCAGAATGACACAAAGAGCTGTGCTCCTTTCTTGCTGGCTGATAAGATGGTGCCACACCCTGCATGGCCCGTGTCGCAGCATCTCTTGGGCTAATGATAAAGCAAAGGACCCCAGGGCTGGGGGTCCTTGCCCAAGGTCACGCAATGTGAGAGGGGCCGGCGATTTATTCATTCAACAAACGTGTGAGTTGTATGAGTTCATTCAGCAGGGCCAGCAGAGACCTAAAGCAGGCTGACTTGATAAAGAGAAGAGGCCTATTTAAATCCCAGTTTTGGAGGCTAAAAATCCAAACAGCCTGGTGCCGGCAGGTGAGGGCTCCAAGGCCGATGGCGGGAGCGTGTGTGGAAGAAATCACACCTGGAAAGCGGAAGCCACAGAGAGAGAGAGAGTGGGCCTTGCCTCTGAAAGGCCCTGCCCCAGCTCCCAGTGCCACACGGGGATCCAGGCTTCCAACACACGCACCTCTGGCCACACGCTCAACCCGGGTCCAGCCGCAGCGGGAGTGAGGGGCGAGGTGGACGAAGTCCTCACCCTTGGGCAGTTTATATCCGGGGTGGGGGGGTGTATCCTCAGGGCTGTCTGCCACTTGCTCCACCTCTCTGAGGTCCCCTCTGCCTGGCTCTCAGGGGGGTGTGATGCGGGGTCTTGCATGGGCCATCCCCCCCGACACTGCTGTGAACCCTTCCTGCACCACCCGGTATCCCCAAACAGCAGCCCGGTGGGTAAATGGGCCTCACCCACAAATGTCCATGTTGGGGCCCCTGAGAGCTGCGGCCGCTGTGCGCCCAGGCCCCGCAAGGTCTGCTGGAGCTCCGGACGCCGTGATGGTCTCGTTCTCGCTGGTGCGTGCCCACCTAGGACGTCAGCTCTTCTCACCACCCTGGGGTCACCCCGTCAAGTCAGGAGGAAAGCGGGTCAGAGAGATGCCGTCTCTTGCCCAGGGTCACACAGCCATGGGGTCGAGCATCATCGAGGTCCTTCTGAGCTGTTTAACTGCATCAGCTCAGGCGGGGGCTCCCCTCTGCCCTCAGCTGCAGGTGACCCCTGACCGGTGGCTGTCTGGCGAGTAGTGGGCATGGAGGCTGGTCCTGGGGCCCCAGCGTCCTGTGCGCTGTTGGAAGACATTTCATAAGAAGCGTCAAAGTTAAAATAGTTTCTAGGTGCTGACGGCCTCGCCTCTGGGCCCGTGTTTGGGCTGGAGGGTGCTGGAGGCATGTAAGGGCTGCGGTCACTTTTTTCTGGCCCCGTCATCTTCACTCTCGCACACGGGAGTGCACACTCTCGGGCACACGCACACACCTGTCTTCCCAGGCGGGTTTCTGCAGCTCCCATTCGCTCTTCCCTCCTGTTCTCTGCTCTCCCTCACTGTGTCATGCCCCAGCCCATCGTTCTGCGTCCCTTTATTCTCCACTCTCTGCGTGTCTCTGCGTCTTCCTCTCCCCTCCACACCCCCTTCTCCCCACCAGCCCCTTGGCCCCAGCCCACCCTGCCTCTCTCCCTCTCCCTCCCTGATCTGGATCCGAGCTCCTGGGACCCCGTGGCGTGGAGGGGCCCCCAGCCCACGCTCCAAAAGGTGGTTCTCGGCGCTCCTCCTGGCGTGGGTGCCATGATTCCATCTGCCTTTGCATCTGAAACTCAAATTGCACATCAAAAAGGATAATGCATCTTTAAGCTGTTACAACGACTTCTCAATTTTTCATTTCCTGTCAGGGTGGGAGCGGCAGGAGGCAGGGGCCGCCACGGAGCCTGTCTCCTGCCAGCAAGTGTCTGCCTGGATTTGAGCAGTAGGAAACCCAGGGGTGATAAATCGCTATTTCTAAGTAAATTTCATGCATTTGCCCTTTGGTTAAAGTCTCCCCTCTCAGCACTTTCCCTGTGCACACAGCCCGACTAATAACGCGCCGCGCGAGCTCTCTGCGCGGTGACAACTGATTGCACTTTGAAGTAATAATGGCTGATTTCATAATTGGTATAATTTTTCACTGGTACCTGAATGTCATCGGTGCACAAAATAAGCTACCTGGACCCATGGCTGCAGCTCTTTTCCTTCTTGGGCAAATCAATAGTGCACCAGCCCCCACCCCAGGACACCCCGCTGGAGGCCCCGCCCCGGTGGAGGCTTTTGGGGTGGGGGGAGGGAGGTGGCTTGGGAGCCACCCTGCTGAGAGCAGAAGGCTAGACAGAGGTCTGGGCAAGGCTGGGTCTGTGAGCCCTGCCAGGGTGAGGAGCAGAGACAAGGAGGTGGGGGACCCTCCCAGGCTCAGCCCGCCCGCTCTCCCAGGTCCGCCACTGCAGCCCCCTCCTCCACTCTCTGAGGAGCCGCCCTCCCGGGGGCCCTACATGGGCCTATGCCGAGCTGTGTGCTTGCTTGGGCATGGATATATCGATATTTACAGGGTGTCCCTGGGAGCCAGGAACAGCGCTGGGGACGGGGCGGTGAGTGTGTAGGTGCCTTTGTCAAGGTGGTGGGTGCTGTGTGCCTGTGCTTCTCTGTGTGTGCATCTGACTAGGTCCGTGTGCCTGTGAGATCAGGGGCAGGTATCCCGTCCCCTTGCCACACCGTCTCCTAGCCCAAGTCCAGGGTTCGTTCTCCCTGTTGACTGAGCTGAGCGGGAGTAGGGGTGCTACAGGGAACCTGCTTTGCCAGGTCCAGACTGACTGCACCTCTTCACTGCTCTCAGCTCTATCTGTGCCGCCCCCCACCCGGGAGGAGCCCGCCTTCCTGCACAGGGCCCAGGACACAGCCTCTGCAGCCAGCCTCGGACGATGCAGGCACTCTTGTCTCTGGGCCCATTTTCCCACTCCAAAAGGGGGCCCAAGAATCCCAAGCTCACAGGTTCTGTGAAGACGCAGTAGGGCTAGGGATGCAGGCGCTTTAGCCTGCACACAGTAGGCCCCCTGTAAACATCAATCCTGATGCACCTTCCTGGCTCCAGTCAGCTCTTGGGAGTCCCTAGAGGATGGGCAGTGTGTTTTCTTCAGGTCTGGAGGTACAAGAAGCTTTGGCCATGTCCACCTCTGAGGTGTTGACTCGGGCTGTCTCCCACCTACTGTGCAATTTGCCAGAGTTTTGCAGGGTCTTGGGGTCGGAGGTGTTCCTTGGGCTAGGTGGTGGGAGGGACCTTGCCCAGGCCAGAGGTGGCGGGACCTAGGCCGGCCCAGATGTCTCACCTCCCCCAGCCCTCTCCCCTCCCGCCCACTGCTGTCTGGCTGTGAACCGGGAAATCGATTTCAACTTCATCTCATCTCAAGATCAAACATCTTAAGTGAGATTATTCACGTTCCTCCATTGTTTCTAACTCATTTCCTATTTTCCAGTTGAAAAACCCTGCCAGAAGCATTCCGTGGCAGAGATTAAAACAGCCTCGGAAGCCGGCACCCAATTCTGCTCTTTGGATGGAGAGCAAATTGGATGCCTGGGAGAAGCAAGCAAATTTTATTATGAACACATAGTTTGAGACTTAACTATCCTTAGGACCCCCGGTGCTGGAGACCTCAGCAGGAGGGCTGGGGGGGCAGGATGAAGGGTGGGCGGAAGGAGAGGAAGGGACCCCCCACTGCGCCCAGCCTTTTCCCCCACAGTGGGGAGCCAGCCGTGGATCCTCATCCCCCACCCATGCAGACACAGTCCCCAGCCTTCAGGGACAGAGTGGGAATCCAGGCTTGCTGCCCCCGCCCCACCCCAGCCAGGTCCCAGGCTCCACGCTAGGGACTCCAAGTGCCTGGTGGCTCTGAATCATCACAAACACTTGGGGAGGAGGAACAGCCTTGGCCATTTCCCGCTGAGGACACTGAGACTCAGAGACAGGAGGTCACTCCCCAAGCTCACACAGCAGTCATAGGTGAGGCGGAATGAGAGTTGAGTTCATGATCTGAATGGCCCGGTGGTAGGTGGGTTGCAAAAGCCGCCACTGTCTGTCCCTTGTCCTTGATCCTCAGAGTGGGCAGTCTAGTTCCCCATCCCTTGAACCTGGACCAGCCCTGTCTCTTATGACAGAATCTGATGGAATTACAACTGTGACTTGCGGTAGAATGTGATAGAAAAGCCATGTGACTGTGCATACTTTTGCGCTCTCTCTCTCTCTCTCTCTCTCTCGATAGTTTGCCCAGCTTTGACAAGGACAAGTTCAAGCTAGCTTGTACAAGAGGAGAAACCACTGCCGGAGAGCCCTGTTGCCCCAACCAAGGATTCCTAGACCTGCCTACAGCCAGCCAGGCCCCAAACCCATGAGAGAACCTGCTCAAGGGAGGCTGGGCTGCCGAGCCAACGCTCCACCTGCCGTAAAGCCATGAGTGACCCCAGCTGGGACCAGAAGACCTGAACAATGGAAACAGGAACCTCCTCTTTTAAGCAATATCAGCAGCTGGGTTTTGGGGTGTTTTGGGGTGACTTGTTACGTAGCAACAGCCTTTCTGCACCTGTCCCCCGAGCTCACCTGCAATACCTGTGCACCTGCCCTGGGGAAATGGATGGAAGCTCTTGTCACAGCTCCCTTTGTTTGGGACTCGTGGAACAAGGCATGTCACCCTCCCCTGCCCTGGGCACTCCCACTGACTGCGCCGCCACGCTGTCACCATCTTAGATGTGTCCGTGTCTCCCATCAGACTCCTTAACACCAGCAATGAGCCAAGTTCCGTGCCCAGCACTTTCTGCGCATGGTTACCCACCTCCTCACACAAACCCATGAGAAACTTTTCCTTCCCATATTATAGATCAAGAAACTGAGGCTCAGAGCGGCCGAGTAACGTGTCCCACGGCCAGGCAGTGGTGGAAGTGGGCTATCCCCACTTCTTTCCATCTGCCTGACTTCCTGTTGTCCAGGGCCTGGGGCTTTCCCACAATCACGCAGAGGGTCGGAGAGACCCCCACCCTGGACCTTCTCAATAACTGCATTTCTCAGACCAGTGTGCCCACACGTCAGAGCCACCGTCTGCAGTCCCCCCAGGAGGTCCCAGTCTTGAAGGCAACCAGGAATACTTGGTTCTGATCCTGCCACACCTTTGGGAAAATCACCCGATGGGCTGAGAACCACACCTCAGCTTGGCTTTCCAGGTTCGGGCAGCCTGGATGTGTGGAGTTGGAGCTCACAGGTGGGCAGGGTGGGAGCAGGGACAGCAACTGCTTTCCGAGCCACGGCCTGTGCCCAGGCAGGTGCTCTCATTACCCCCTTACCTGGATGGCACCAGCTTGCCCAGTGCCAGGAGGGCGCTACTGTCAGCCGCACCCCTCCCCCCAGCCCCTCTGCTCCAGAGCCCTTCACCCACGCTCCCCTCGGGTGTCCCTAATGGACACACAGTCCCAAGCCCAGCGCTGCCCTGCTGAGGAGCAGCCCACCCCGTGCAGTCAGAGCAGGGTCTCGGCCTCCAGGGAGGAAGCAGCCCAGACACGGAGGGGCCCCCCGTGGCGGCGGCGGCCGGGAGGTGGGGTGACTGCGTGACTGCGTCTCCTCTTCCCAGCTCTTCCCAGGCGGTTCCCTTAGCAACGGGCCTTGCTTTGACAGCCACCCTCGCAGACAGTCTGCTTCGGGGGCCGGGGGGAGCTCTTCGCGCCACCCCCACCCCCTGTTCAAGTGGGAATCTTTGCGGGGGGTGGGGGTTGAAGCAGAGGCTGGGAGCAGCCTCCTCCTGACTCTGGGAGCCCGGGGTTCCTCCGCGATCGCGCCCCAGTGCGTCCCGCCCCTTCCTCCATGTCCTGCTTCCTCCTGCTCCTGCGGGCCCTAATTAATTTCCTCCGTCCCATGCCTCTCCACCGCCTCCTTGCTTTTCTCTACGACCTGACTTCTCTCTTCCCTCCGACACACCTGCGCCCCACCTGCCTTTCTCCGCACGTGAGCAGCTAACGCGTCTGCGCTGGCATTTACTGTTCTTAATATAGGCATCGGTGACAGCGGAAAAGGAGCAGGGTTCCCACACAGCCGGGGAGGGGGCTCTCCGCCCCCGGCCTGCGGGTAGAGGAGGGCGTGGCTTCAGCCGAGCCCACAGACCTGCGGGCCCTCGCTGGCTTTCCTGTCGTTCTTGGGACCCCATTCCTGCAGGCTTCCGGGCAACCAATAAGAGTGATAATAGCCCGCTCAGAGGATTCGGTTCTTGCCGCTTGTCAGGCCCTGTGCAGGGAGCGCCTATCCCCATATTAATATTAACATCCTAATATTAGTATTCCCACTTCACAGGTTAGACGATGGAGCATCCGACAGGCTAGATGGCTTAGCGAAAGGCATCAGTTAATAAAAACAACATGCTTTTTTTTTTGTCTCCGAGCTCCCCACCTGGTGGAAATGCTGGTCCCCTGCATCCCTGGACAGGATCCTCATCAGAGGATGAGGGGAGGGGGCTGGAGCCTGGCACCCACCTGCACCTGCAGCACATGTCCTGGGAGTGCCCGGCCAGGGGCACAGCTGCTGCTACGGGTGCTGGCCCTGCAGCTCGAGCCTCCCCCCAATGGGGGTCCTTTCTCAGCTGCTCTCACTGATGTGATGAGAAGGGGATCCCCCTAAAAGACGGCCTGTTTGCAGCATTGATGAGCCGGGGGTCCATGGGTGGGACGAACAGCTCCTCCCTGCTTCCCAACCCACAGAACCTTTTCCCAGCATCCCACAGTCTTACGGCCAAGGCCATAGCCTGGTGACGGAGGCCTGGGGCCCCGCCTCTTCCTCCAGCACTGTGATCTCATCGCCCTAGACCTCCGCTGCCGATAGTCCCGGCGCCCCGTCACTGTCGTCACCACGGTGATGTCTCACCTGAGGTCTGCCGAGTACCACTTCCAGATATTTGTGCTGGGCTTGGGAGGGGCACCAGCCAAGGAGGCTGAGCAGTAGGGAAGGGGGAAGAAACCAAGAGTCACCGGGCAGGGAGGGGAGAGTCGGGGGTGGAGTCCGCGGAATCAGCCAGCCGCAGGTGCACGATGTTTGAGGAGAAAGTTGCCTCCGCACTGAGCGAGAACAGACTTCGCCCTCGCTGTTATTCCCCAAATAAGACCGTGTGAAGCTATTGCTGTAGCACTTACATCATGTTAGGAGTTGCAAGGTACTCTGGACCTGATTTAAAGTAGACAAGAGGGTGTGCATGCGTCGGACACAACACTACGCCATCCAATAAAAAGGATCTGAGATTTGGGCACTCGCAGGGGTTCCTGGAACACCCACCAAGGGCACTGGGGCGGGGGGCGGGGAGGCAAGTGCACTGACAGTGAGGGCCCCGGAGCGGTGAAGGTGAGGGATGGCTCTCCAGGGCTGAGTGCTAGGAGCCGAGGGAACTGAGGGAGGGAGTGCTCTGTGGACCCTGGTCCCAGGCGCGCTGGGCCCAGGCTGTGACACCTTCAGCTCAGGGGGAGGAGAGGATAAGAGGGGACAGTGAGAGCAGAGAGCCGGAGAGTGGAACCAGGGACACAGGAGGAATCTCTCGTAATGTTGGGGGACCTGTGAGGTTGGGGACCTCGAGTTTACCACGGACCAAGTGATTCAGCCTATGTCCCCCGAGATCACCACTGCTCAAATAAATTGGAGAAACACATCCCAGGATTCCTCAGTGACTCTGCCCCGTTCCCTCGTGCCGTAGCCTGCCGGAAGCGGAGAGTGTTCACGAGGGGGCTCAAACATTCGCTGAGGCTGGCCCTGCGGCGCAGCCGGGGACGCTTCCATCTGTGGTGCTGGCCTCCCACATGGGTGCCCAGTGTGAGTTCTGGCTGCTCCCCTTCTGATCCAGCTCCCTGCTGCTGGGCCTGGGAAAGCATCGGAGGAAGCCCAAGTCCTTGGGCCCCTGCGTGCAAGTGGGAGATGTGCAAGGAGCTCCTGGCTCCTGGCTTCAGTCTGGCCCAACCCTGGCTGTTGAGCCCTTTTGGGAGGTGAATGAGTGAATAAAAGATTTCTCTCCCTCTCCCTCTCCCTCTCCCTCTCCCTCCCCCTTTCCCTCTCCTTCTCCCTCTCTCCTTCTCTCCTTCTTTGTCTCTGTAACTCTGCCTTTTAAATAAACAAACAAACAAATCTATCTCTTAAAAAAGTGTGTGGATAATGAAATTAAAAGATAAGTTTATTCTGGTGCCAAAATCTTTGATCCATGCATAGTTTTTTTCATGGTACACATTTTACATGAACTTTTTGAAGACTACGTATGTGTACACTGTCCAATTTAAAAATGTTTTTGAAAGACTTATTTTAAAGGTAGAGTCACGGAGCAATAGAGAAAGGGAGACACACTCACACACACACACACACACACACACACAGATCGTCCATCCACTGCTTCACTTCCCAAATGGCTGTAATGGTGGGGCTGGGCCAGGCTGAAGCCAGGAGCCAGGAACTCCATCCAAGTCTCCATGTGGGTGGCAGGGGCCCAAGCACTTGGGCCACCTTCTGCTGCTTTCCCAGGCCATTAGCAGGGAGCTGGCCTGAAAATGGAGCAGCTGGGACTCAAACCAGTGCTTATATGGGATGCCAGCCCCACAGGAGGTGGCTTGACCGCTGTGCCACCACGCTGGCCCCCAGTTTTACTTTTGATCACAGTATTGTTTCTAGATGCCACTTGTGTGTTAGCGCCAACTCACGGCTCATGGAGCAAAGATGCCCATTTCTTTGGAACTCCATGTCCAGTGACATCCTGCTGGTGGCTTGAATTGGCCGTAATAGAAGTGTTTACACCACAAAAACAAGCAAACGTCACAGATGAGGGCCATTGTGCCCTGCAGAACTGCTTGTTAAACACTCCCCATCCGACCTTGGCAATCTCGCACCGAGCCAGTGCAACAAGAACACAAAGACCAACAAGAGGAGAAGTTACAAGAAAGAAAGAGGTAAATTATATGATTATTTACCAGGAAATCCCAAAGATCAGCCAGAAACCATTACAATTAATCAGAGATTCAGGAAGATGCTGACTTAAAAGAAATATTCAGCAATCAATGCCTCCCCTATGTTCTAGCATTAATCATCTAGAACAGATGATGGAGAGAATATGACATTCACCGTCACAACAAAAATAGAAAATATCTAGCAACCGACGCAATAATGAATGTGTGAGGCTAAACGGAACATAAAAATAAGCATTGACTATATGGAAACGCCTGCTGTGCGCTCATGGAAGAGAAGATTAAAAATTGTCAATTCCATTAAGATTAATCCATACATTTAATTCAGTTCCAATTAAATCCCAAATGTATTTTCTTACTTGCAACATTAGTTCATTGGGAGTTATAAATAGGCAAGAACGTCTAAGAACATCTTAATAAATAAAATTGATCAGGGCAAGAGTAGCTTCTAGGTCAGATATTAAGATGCAAGGGCCAAAAGGTGACGCTGTGTAGCTCACTGCTCCTCCACCCACTGTGAAGTTCAATTTTCAGGATAGCACCTGCTGTACAGAACTGCCTGGGAGATGGTGAGCGAAGTGTGTGGGAGAGACAGTGTAAACTGGCACAAGTAAGTAACTCAAGTGTCTAGAACTACCTATTATATGGTAAAGGTGGCATTTCGAGTCAGTAGGGGAAAACGTGAATTATTAAAAAAATAGTGTTGGGATAGTTGATTAAGCATTTGAAAAAATAAAGCCAGACAGTTGGACGTATACTCACAACAGGATTGGTGAAGCAAATTACGTTGCATTGAGAGACTGGGATATTCTGGCCCCACGAAAGCGATCTCACACGGGAGAGTTGTTGGCACGTGTCACTGCATTGCGAGGTGGGACAAGGAAGGGGGAGAAGCAGCAGTGGGGTCAAAAGGACAAATGAAGGAAGCTGTGCGACCTTCAGCAAGTTCCTCTGGCTCTCTGAGCTTCAGATACTTTTTTTTTTTGGAGCTTCCTGCTTATTTGCATTCTGGGAGGCAGCAGATGATGGCTCAAGTACTTGGGTCCCTGTGACCCACATGGAAGACCTGGATTGAGTTTTTGGTTCCTAGGTTTGGGCTGGCCCAACCCCAGCTTGTTGCAGGCATTTGAGAGTTAACCAGCATATGGAAGCTCGCTGTCGCGCGCGCTCTCTCTCTCTCTCTTTCCTTTTCAAATAAAATTAAAATAAATAAATTTAAATGTTTTATTATTATTTATTTATTTGAAAGGCAGAGTTTACAGAGTCACAGAGAGGGACACACACACAGAAAGAGAGAGAGAGAGATTGTCTATCTGCTGGTTCACTCTCCAAATGGCCGCAATGGTTGGGCTGGACCAGGCTGAAGCCAGGAGCCTGGAATGCCATCTGGGTCTCCACATGGGTGGCAGAGACCTAAGCACTTGGGCCAGCTTCCACTGCTTTCCCAGGCGCATTAGCAGGGAGCCGGATCTGAAGTGGAGCAGCCAGCACTCCAACTGGACCCATGTGCGGTAGCCAGTGTCGCAGCTTTACCTGCTACACCACAACGCTGGCCCCGATAAATAAAAATTTTAAGTGACAAAATGCATGCAAAGTGCTTGGCATTGTGTGTGGCACATAGTAGTTGCTCTAGGGCAGCATTTCTTGTGTCCTCCAGTAGGACTGGAGGTCCAGAGGCAGGGGACACAGTGTTTGTCTTGGAGGTGCCCTAGGCTGGGCTGGGAAGAGGAGGGGTTGGTGCCTGCTGTGAGCAGAGAAAGGTGTGGCAGGTGTGACGGGCTCTCCAGCACGGGAGAGCCCTAGTACTCAGGACAAGTGAGACACCCAACCCGACCAAAGTCCCCGGAGGACCATCACGTAACCACAGGGGAGAGGGGAGCATGACAGACGGGAGGGACAGTATGGACAAGTGACCTGAGAGCCAGGCATGCTGGAGTGCAGATGAGGTGGAAACAGAGGTGGGAGGCAGGAGCCAAGGGTCGTGGCAGCCGCCTGCGGTCCACAGTCCACTAGCATTGCAGATGGGTGGCCTGCCGCTGCTGGGTAGACTGGGTGGAATGGAGAAGGCTGGAGTCAATGAGACAGCGGGGAGGCTGGGGCGGCCATCCAGGCACAAGTTGGAAGTGGCAACAACAAGGAGGCGACCCAGGGGTGCATGAGTGCCTGACGCCAGCAGCAAGGACCAGGCAGCAGGGGGACGTGGCAGGCGTGAGAGGGCAGAAGAGGACGAAGCGAAGGGGAAATCTGTTAGCCCTAGACAGCTGATGGACCACACAGCTGCCCTCAGAGAGAGCTGGCCCAGCACAAGGAGCGTGCCCACCAAGTCCTGAGTCCTCACCAAGCCACCCGTACTGGAGAGACACACCTAGGAGCCCTCATCTGGGACAGTGCAGGGAGCCAGCGGCCAGGAGGCAGCCCCGGGGGGACGTGGGGCAGGCACAGCGGGGAGGTCAGCCAGCTGCCCAGGGGCAATGGGCAGAATAGAAGCCAGAGGACCAGGGCCTCCTGGACACAGCTCTTGGAGGGTTGGGGTCGGTGGGAGGGAGCTGGGGCAGAGTCAACCCAGTGTCAGGAGATGGGCAGTGGGGAGGTAACGTGAGCACCTCCAACAGAGCTGGGGTGCAGGAGAGGAGCTGGGGCGTAGGAGAGGAGCTGGGGCACAGGAGAGGAGCTGGGGCGTAGGAGAGGAGCTGGGGCACAGGAGAGGAGCTGGGGCTCAGGAGAGGAGCCAGGGCACAGGAGAGGAGCCGGGCACAGGAGAGGAGCTGGGGCGCAGGAGAGGAGCTGGGGCTCAGGAGAGGAGCCGGGCACAGGAGAGGAGCTG